AGATAGATAGATAGATAGATAGATAGATAGATAGATAGATAGATAGAGATAGATAGATAGATAGACAAAAATAACCAGACAGACTGACAGAAAGATATAGAGATAGACAAGACAGACAGACAGACAGAGACAAAAGAGATAAGCAGACAGACTGATAGAGAAGAGAGAGGGGGGAAGAGAGAGAAAAGAGGAAGGGAGAAGCAAGCAGACAGAAATCAAAAGTCAAAGCAGTTTAATTACTAGGACTGGAGCATGGTGAGAACTCAGCTGCACAGGCACAAAGTTGCGTGTGTAGCCAGCCCATCATGGCTGTGCTGAGGCCAAAGTATTAATCAAATGACAAAGAAAACCATACCTGGACTGGCAAAATAGGCTGGTGACAGGAAGCACACTTGGGTGCAAAAACCCTAGATTTGAGAGGCGGGAAAGAAGTTACATTTTTCTTGAGAAGCAAAGAAAGAGAATGGCGGGTTGCATTTTAACAACTGAGAGCAAACAATGTTAGCTAATCCCAACTCCTTCCCATGATTAAATGTTCCATTTTTTTTACACCACAACGGTATGAAATCTAAATTCAGCTATGGATTTCAGAATATCCCTCCTTCTATTCAAAGCAGGACAGCTGAACAAGAAGATGATCCCATTAACCTCAGATAATTACCCCAACTGAATGGCTGCCATCTAGTGAGACCTATGTGGTCCCCGTGTGCCATCCCTTTAGTAGGCAGGATTTAATTCATCTCCAAATGTCACCGATGGAAATGTTTAAAAGAAAGAAGAAAATAGCCGTAATCTCCTTTCAGTGTAGCAACGGTCCCTATTACATTTTCAACACAACATACAGAAATGTTGACCGCTAGATCGCCTTGCTGTCAGTCCTTAAGTGGGCTAGATCCTGGAGACAGCAGCCAACCCTTCCTCCCTCAAGACCTGAGCCGGGGCTCCCCACTTTCTCCTTTTGCCCTGCAGAGCTCTGCATTCTCACGTGTGATAGTCTTTGACACAGTAAATGTTGTTCTCCATATCTACAGTGAAGGGTATGCCGTCCAGACATTCATTGCACACCACACAGCGGAAACAGCCAGGATGGTATGACTTCCCAAGAGCCTGCAAGATCTGAAAAAGAAGCACAGGTCACAAATTATGCAAAGTCTCTTCCTGCTGTCTGTAATTTGTTTCATGCCTCAAGAAACAGCAAATGTTGGGCTTGGGGAAATCATTCGGATTGCTAGCCAGGAATGACCGCTGGGGAGTAACAACTGGCCCTCCTGAGAAGCCTCACTCGTGCTTCCTGCAGCACAATACAGTGGTTGCTTCCTGCCTTTACCTCCCCCCCTCTCTCTCTGCATGGTTTTTTAAGCTTCCCAGCCTAGCCAGCAGTGTTGAGTTTCCCAAATGTCTCCAATCCCAATACAGTAGGGATGACCGTTTCTCACTCTACTCTGCTCTTCTGCAAATTTTAGAACCAAGTCTGGATTTGCAACCAGCCTCCCTTGGAAGAAGTTTTAGGCCTCAACACTGTTTGTGTTTGTGGCAAAAGCTCCAGGAGATGGGAAAAGGGGGCCCAACTCTTTCGATTGGCAGACTATAACTATCCCTTGATCATTTTAAGCCTGTTCTTGATTTGTATTGCATGCTAACTCAAGGGGTTTCCACGTGATACTTCTTACCAAGAGAGCCAACACTATCTTTTCTTATTGTCATGCTTTCATTCAGACAGTTTCATTCATTCAGATCCATCCTCCCACCTGTATTAACTAAGGCAATTGGAGGTGCATTGCCTCAAAGAGCCTTGAGTTCAAAAGCATTCTCAACCACGATGGTCACAAGATAGACCTCAGCATGTCACTATTTCACAGACTTTTTAAATGAAATTGAGCTACTTTTGATATATAGCCCAAGGCTCCTCCTCAACTGATGTCCTTCAGATGTATAGGATTACAATTACCATTCTCCTTAACTAATCTGGTGTTGAATATACTAATCGGAAAGGATTGCCTTCTGGGTCCCAAACATCAGAGGGCATCAGAACAGAGAAGACATTTCCCCCAGATTAAAATGAAATAGCAAGAACCAACCCTTAGATTTGTATCTTTCAGAGGAGAAGAAAAAATCTTCCAAATCCAAGCATAATTAAAATAAAACTGTACAAAGAAAACAAGACTGAAAATTAGATCAGACTCTGAAACCCAGACAAGTGATCTTGGAGATCTTGGAGATGAGGCACAATGCTGCGGAGTGCCCTGGAGCTGCCTTAAGCACAGGAGAACCCTCTTTTGTGAAAAGTCCAGCACCAGCTCTATGGACTTGATGCCTCAACCCAAATCAGTTTTGTGTCCCCTCAGTGGAATTGTTGCCAGATAGCTGGTATGGTTGTATTTCGTCTGAAGATGTAATGAGATTACGGGTGCCTAAACCAGCAGCAGCACTGTAGATTAGCAATTTCCACTGCTATTATTTCATCATCTGAACAGCAGGCTGCAAAAGCAATGTTGGATCAGTGATGCCTTCTAGCCATTTATGAACTGTGATACATTTGGTAGCAGCTGAAGAGGCAGCAAGAGAAAGGTTTAACCTGACCAGAGCAGCTTCTCTGGTTGTTGAATTGGTTGGGTCAACAAGAGTCATGAAGAAGGTCAGACAAGGAATAATGGATGGAAACTGAACAAGGAGAGATTCAACCTGGAAATAAGGAGGAATTTTCTGACACTGAGAATAATCAACCGAAGGAACAGAAGCTTCATCACTGGAGGCTTCCAAGAAGAGACTGGACTGCCCTCTGTCAGAAATGGTGTAGGGTCTCCCGCCCAAGCGGGGGGGGGGGGGGGGGGTTGGACTAGATGATCTGCAAGGTCTCTTCCAACTCTGTTCATTTTAATCTGTTAAATCCACTAATGGAGACCTTAAGTGCCACATCATCATCTGAAAGATTTGTGAAACAAAAGTTCCAACTTATGCAAGGACGACCGATTTGAATAAATGTTTATGAAAATTCAATCAGGTAGACTTCAGTTCAGGGGTCGCCCAACTTGGCAACACAAAGACTTGCGGACTTCGTATTGGTTGGAGAATTCTGGGAGGTGAAATCCACATTCTTTTAAGTTGCCAAGTTGGGAGACCCCTGCTTTAGGTCAGTGATGGTAAACCCGTGACACGCATCAACGGTAATCTACCATTATACTTTGGGTGGCATAACTGCATTCACCCACACCCAACACCAACTATCACCTGATGGGCCTCCAGGAATGGTGTGAGCAGCCTTTTTGAACAGCATTAGCGGTGGAGTTGAGACTGAAGTTTTACTTTATCAAGGAAACAAGTTGTACTTTTTTCTGATTGAGTATGAAGCAATATAATCTTTAAAAATGTTATTAATTTATTGTACTCCAATATTATGAATGGGGGGGAAAGAAGGAAGGAAAGATGGTCCATAACTGACCTCTGGTCAACATTTTTCTAAAATCATAGTTGGAATGATGGAGAAACACCTGCTGAGTGAGAGGGACCAAACATCCACTTATGTGTTTCCAATTGTTTAAATACTGGAAATCAATCACTCTGATTGTTCTAGACTCCGTCCTTACTGTATTTACATCTGGAATGACAGAGCTAAACAGGGATCCTCCAGCAGAAGGAACAGAATGAGGAAATAAGTTAATGAAACAACATGGAATTAATAGAAGTGAAGGGAATGCTTTATAAATTTTTATGGGAATTATACTGTTAAGAATGGAACTAAAGCTCTAAATCTTAATATCAGTGGAATTGTGCCATATCTGAATTTTGAGCTTTTATCTAAATTTCTCTTATGTTAGTCACAGTATTCTCTGAATATATTTGCTCACTATTTGTTACTTTTTCTTCTTCTTACTAATTCTAACTATGATAACAAAGTTTAATAGGCTTGTTTGACTAGAAATTGGGCACAGAACCTGTACTCTTAATTGCCCTGGATTTGCAATCTATCATTATTTAAACTGGCCCTTTTCCAACTATTGTAATAACTAGTATAATCTCTGGGACCAATTTTTAAATGTGTTTTTGTTATTAGAATTATACCTCTTCTTTTTGACAATTATAATGCATAATATGTAAGAATTAATAAAAGCAAAAGAGAAAGAAACTGTGTGAAGGCTGCATCTGCATCTAGTGATTGGAAAAGAGTGAATGCAAAAACCAGAGGGAAAGGAAGTTATTAAAGGTGCCTGGGTAAACGTTGGCAGAGTTCTGACCAAAAGTTCATTGTGAGCAAAACCTGCCCGGGGGCTTTTACTGGCTGCCAGCTGGGGGGCATGGAGATTTCTTCGGGGCAATACCCATGGAGTCAAGCAGGGGGAGAAACGGGGGCTCCACCGAGGGGGCAAGAGGGGGGCTCTGGGGGCAGATCCAGGGTCAAAGGTGGAAAGCAGCGTCAAGGGGTGGGGGCTTCTCCAGGCAGAGAAAACAGAGCCCTGGGAAAGTCCAAAGGGGGGGGGGGGGCGTTCCAACCTCCACTTCTCCCCTGCTCTCTGCCACGAATGAATGAATCCCGGCAGGATGCTGCTTCCCAGGAGGCTCCGCTGGGCATCCCCAGGGAGAGGCAAGGGGAGCTGCTGCTGGGAGGGCCCTCAAGAGGAAGAAGCTGGGCCGCAAGCGGAAGCCTTGCTGGAGAGCCGAAGGGGCACCGGAGGCAGAGCGGGGAGGGGGGGAAACGGGTGGGTGGGTGGGCAGCCTGCTAGGGAGAAGGAGTGTGCAATCGGATTCGGGCAACTTTGCAGAGACCCCCCAGGGATGATGCATCGTTCCTAAAGTGGCCATGGCCAACTCACTGTGGGATGCAAGAGTGAGGTAACAGAATCCTTAAAGAAAATATCAAAAAAGCAAAAGGAGGGACAAAATGAAACGTCAATGACAAAAATTAACAGTGTTTTTCTAACATTATTTTAAATAATTCAATTGGACGGGTTGAATTGACCCACAGCAAGTTGACTCTGGTGAGTTGTCCCATTCTCTTCCTAAAGAGGCCTGGCCTTTCGACGCTTGCCGAAGCACAGTCCGTCCGGTTAACAGAATAACAGAGTTGGAAGGGATCCTGGAGGACTTCTAGTCCAGCCCCCTGCTCAGGCATATATCATCCCAGACAAATGGCTGTCCAATCTCTTCTTAAAACCCTCCAGCGATAGAGCACCCACAACTTTGGGAGATCTCACTGAAATTTCTCCTTAATTCTAGGCTGGAGCTCTCCTTGATAGTGGCTTCGTGTCCTGCCTTTACAGCCGGGGTCTCCAACCTTGGCCACTTTAAGCCTGGAGGACTTCAACTCCCAGAATTCCCCAGGCAGCTTTGCTTAATCTCTTGTGATCCCTTCCTCTGCAATCTCTCCATTTTAATTTAGTTCTCTTCAATTCTGGGAGTTGATGTCCACAAGCTTTGCTGGCTGGGGACTTCTGGGAGTTGAAGTCCTCCAGGCTTAAAGTTGCCACAGTTGGAGACCCCGGCTTTACAGGATAGGCTGACCTCCTCCTCCTCTTTGTGACAACCCCTTAGATACTGGAACACTGCTACTACGTCACGCCTAGTCATTTTTTTCATTAGAGAATAGAGAACAAGGCCAAACACAAGATTTCTAGGGTTATCCGTGAAGCCAAATGTTTGGGGAAGAAGCCCCATTCTTTCCAGGAGTCAGGAAGGACGGTCCGAAAAGGAACTCTTCTGCAAGTGAGAAGGATCCACCTTCTTTGCAAATGAGATGAGCCCCACCCTATCTGGAAGGCTTTCCTGCCATCTCTTGAAGAAAAACTGGTGCAACATTTTTAAAGCGGAAGCAAAAATATTTTATTAATATATTGCCAGCAGGATTTCCCTGGGTGGCAAATTTTCTTTGTCCATGAAGGAAAAAAATGGGTTCATTTTATTATTTTTATGCAGCCCTGTGAGGCAAATATCCGCACTGGGCTCTGCCCCATCCTTTAAGGCACTGCTGGAGGCTCAAAAGGCAACAAGGAAGAGAACTGCCATTCTTCAGAACACTCTGGAATATGTCTTGGGGCCACAGAGAGGAGCCCTGTGGTGAGTTCAGGGTGGATTAGTAGTTTCCTAAGACACAATACTTGTGACTGGCTGGGTTCATACAACAGGCTGAACTTGGTTACTGTTGTGGCTTGCCAGCAGCCTATGCAGACGGCAGTGGAATCGGACAGTGGGGAAGAACGGGGACCAGTCCAGGAGTCTGGGGAGGACTCGGATGAGGGTCCTGCGTCCGATGCAGGGATGGGGCCAGGACCATCTGGAAGTTATGCACTGACTCCGGAGCAGCAGCGAGGCAGAGGAACCAGGGGAGCCTGTTCCCAGCACGCGTGAGTGCAGAGCTGCCCGAAGGCGAGAGCAGCTGAGATAAAAGGGGCGACTCAGGAGTAAGGCTTGGAGGTGATTGCCCCTCCCCTAAGGTATACAGGAAGTACAAAGGTAGAGAAACCTTTGCAGGAAGCAAAGTCGTTTGCTCTGTTCAGATTAAACCTTGAAACTCTGTGTGGACTTTGTACTTGTTTGGCTTTTTACAGTTAATTTGGCACTTTAGTTGTTGGCAGCCATTCAAAGGAGAGAAAGGTGGGTGCTTATCTCAAGGGACTGTTTGGGACTCATTATGGGCTGGGAATGAACATAATGCCCAGCGTTGAAATGAAACAAGAGCTGTTTGGACTAAGCGTGTGCTTAATTACGGTCTCGGAAGCCTTGGTTAGAACATCAGCACCCATCTGTTTTCTGTCTGCACAAAACAGACTAAAATGGAACGTGAATAGGTAAAGTTCTTATAACATTAGACTACAAAAAATTAATGATTAAAACTAATCAAGCTCAGCAGGTTGTGCAAATGCAGCTGCTGACACCTTCCTGAACCTGTTCGGCATACGAGGCAAACCTGGCCTCCATTGTGATGGTGTTGTGTGTGGGCCTGGGGAGAAAAAGAACGCCAGGACTCTTACCATTTCCATGATGAGGTGGCCACAAATGAAGCACTTGTCTGCCGTCTGCTGAAACCCCGAATACTGTTTACATATAAAAATAAAATGAAAAAGGAGGGAGGGAGACAGTTAGAAGGCCTTCTCTTTCCATCCCGTTAAGTCACAAACACGTTTTCTTTTCAGCAATCAAGCAAATCTTCACGATTAACTACTAAACTGAAAATGAGACTGGGGAAGTGAGAATGGTTCTTCACGCATTACTTTCCCAACATTTTCACAATAGCACTGAAGAGGACAGAATTTTGATCCAAGCATTTCAATTTGCACTGCAAGCTTGCACTGAAACCTTTTTCACCCAGTGAAAATGAAACTGTTGCTCAAACAGAAGACACCAGTGATATTTAATGCCGAAAACTCATTTCAACATTGGCAAAACCCCAAGTGATGGTGAGAACAGCAAGTGTGAATCCTGTTTCCATTTACCACATCAGACAAAAGGAAACCAGCATCTCTACTTTGTCACAACTGAGGGTGGAATTGTTGAATCTCTGTTGGATGGATAGGGAAGGTATTATTTCTTAAATCTTTTCCAAATTGTTATTATTCAAATGATGATTCTACTAAAACTCTCCTCCTCCATCCTCAATTCTATCATGTTGTATTCATAATATCAGTATTTAAATTAGAGATTGCAAGTAATTTACATTTTAAAAACTAAATGTTTATTTATTTATTGAATTTATATTGCCGCCGATGGCGACCCATGGCAACTCGAGGCAGCTTACGGAATGTAAAATCATACTTAAAAAAAAACAATATGTAAGATAAAAAGACAACATGTAAGGTAATTAAACTGCCCATTTATCTGATATTGCCTTCAAAAATAGTTCCTCATCAACGTTGCCCTCACTTTGGTTAACGTTGTGCCCTAGTGTCACTAAGCCAGAAGGAGAAGACAAGGCATGAAAGAATGATGAGGGCATCGTAGAAGAAGACATGTGGGTTAAGAGCAATAAGTCAATAAAAATATTTTTATCCCAAGATTAAAAGCAAATAGATCTAATGTGGAGACAATCATTAATAAGTACATCAACAGGATGGAAACAGATCATCTTATGCAACCCAGGAATTTCTCAGTGCAACCGACAAATGTTGAGGAGCAACAGGAAACATTAGGAAATCTAAAAACACGAAGAATGGCTTACTCGGTGTGACTCTAGGATGAAGCTCATGGATGAAATGCAAGGATTGGATGTAGAATGTATTAAAAATATGTACCTGGCAAACACACATTAGACGAATGTAGCCAAAATATGGCTGCATGCATGTTTGGGGAAGAGAAAGGACAAAAATAGTCTGAATGAAGGAGGAATTAAATTTCATGTGAAAAAAAAAAGGGAACACGTGCACCCAGATGCAGGAATCTGACCCTGA